AATTTTATTATTCAACTCCGATTGGTAGCTCAAAATATTAGAGGGTCGAATGACTCGAAATCCCAAAACGACGTCGTTTTAGGCTTTTTTTGTATTCTCTTACCGGTAAGAGAATATTTTCGACCCATCCGACCCTTCACTTTTGAGCTACCAGCCATTTTCCTTTATTATTAGAAAAAATTATAAGAAAATTTTCATGGTTTGACTCTTATAATAAAATAAATCTCAAGTTTTTTATTTTGTTAATTTAAATCGTAAATTTTTTATTTGTTTTCAATCTAAATTATTTGTCTATTTTCGTTAAGTAAATTTGATAGAAAAAATGTATTTTAGTAATTAAACTCAACGAAAAAAGTATTTTAGACATTTTATGTATATCTATATTGAGTTTAATAATTAAAATATTATTCCCGTCAATTTGACTTAATGGAAATAGGCTAATGGTTTACATTGAAAATAAATCAAAAATTTAAGATTTATATTGATAAAATAAAAATTCATGATTTATTTTGTTATAAGTATCAAATTATGAGTTTTTTTTTTGTTGTAATTTTTCCTATTATTTATTAGGGGTACTTACGTGTAGGTCCTAATAAGTAGACTTATTGTCTAATAGATCTTATGGAAAAAAATTTGTCATAAAAAAATGTCACTAATCGTAAGTTTTAGCGATAATTTATAAAAATCATGACAAAAAAAAGTCACTAATTGTCAAGTTTTAGCGACATATATAAAAAATTGTAACAAAAAAAATATTTTTATCGACAATTTTATCAAAACTTATTTTTAATAGGATTTGATGGAAATTAAGTCCAACTATTAAGACTATTACGTGTAAGTCCTAATCAGTGGATTTATTGTCTAATAGATCTTATGATAAAAAATTGTCATAAAAAAAGTTATTAATTGTAAGTTTTAGCGACAATTTATAAAAATCATGACAAAAAAAAGTTACTTACTGTCAATTTTTAGCAACATATATAAAAAATTGTCACAAAAAAATTATTTTTAACGACAATTTTACCAAAATTTATTTTCAATAGGACTTGATGGGAATTAAGTCTAACTGTTAGGACCTATTAATAATTTATCCTTATTGGATGAATTTTCATTTTTTTTTATCAACTATTTTTTACCTTTAACATGTCATTTATTATGTGGATCTAAGTAATAAATAAATCAATAGATTGGGTCGAGAAATGTCATTTTCCAAAAGAAATGAAAGATGCAATTGACATGAAAGACAACAAAGTTTAGTTTCCCACTTATCTAATGCTCCCTTCTATGTTTCAACATCTTTTTATTGTTGGTTAAACTATGATAAAAAAATTTAGTATAAGACAAGAATTCTTAGTTCATTTTCATAGTATATGATTTGCAAGGTAGCCAAATGGACAAGGGAAAGCACAAACAAGAGCTTGTGCCAACACCTTTGTTGTTATGCAAACCAACATTGTGACATGCCCAAAAGCCGGCCAATTCACTATCCGACTTTTGGATGGTGAAAGTATATATTATATAATTAATATAATATATGCATGAGCCATGCTACCGACCCCAGTGGGGCGACCCCCACTGACAACCCCCAGTGAGGTGTCGCCTCCCCATTGACTGAAAAAAAAAATTATAATTTTTTTTTTTGCACCAATCACACACGATCCCCAGTACGTCGGAGGCTTTTTCCTATATGCATACAAGAAAGAGAGAAAAAATCTATTAATCCAGAATTATGAATCATGGATTGAATTAGAAATTGTATCATTAGGATCTAATTTTTGTATAATAGGATTTACATATAAAATTAATTTGTTTTTTGGATTTTTTTATTTTTTTGAAACTTTTGAAATACTGCAAGAAAAAACCACAAAAAAAATTACATATAATCGACACATTGGTGGGTGTGGCCCCACGCCAAGTGGTGGGTTTCACATTTTTATGTCTATTCTTTAATTTATTATTATTATTATTGAGATGGGATTCTCTTTAGTTTATATATTAATTATGTGGATGTGAGAGTCTTGTTGGAGCGTGTGAGGTTTGTTATAGGATCGTTATGATAATTTAAATAACAAAAATATTTGACCCTTCTCTCTTTTATTGGTTATATTTTTTTTTTCTGCTCCTCCAATCATCACCCGTCACGTGTCTGTAGAGATTGTGTGGGTGGTGATTAGAGGGAGTCTCTATCATGACTCTTTAAATAATTCTTTTTCTAGGATTTCTTAAGTAGATCATCTATAAATAAAAAAAATTGATCTACTATTATAGCTAGATAATTTCTTCATATTGTTATCTTTAAAAAAAATGGAAAATAAGTTAATTTTTGTTCATTTTTTATAAACAAATATGATAAAATTATATGGTTGTAATGTCAGATCAATTGTTATTTATTTATTTATTTATTTTTAAATACAAAGTCTTGGAGCATCATTATCAAGCTCATTAGAACTTTCTCTTGATTATTTTATAGTACAAAATTGTAGAAATACACTCCATTAAACTCAATTAGGGCATGAGATTGAAATTATTAATTTGTAGGCCCAATAATCCTGTGTTTGTTTTGAAATTTTGTTTCAGGATTATTAATCCAATAGATAATTAATCCAACAAATTTTTAGGATTATTATTAATGGGTTAGGGGTGGGATTATGTATCCTGAGCTGAGAAATAAAATAAAAATATTCTTTTACCCTTGACTAAAAATTAAAACACTTATTATTTTTCTATAATTTTATATTTTAGAAGGCTAAAAATAATTTTTAAAATATTTTTTGATATTTTTTTTATCAAATTAGTTTATATTTAAAAAAAATTAAAAAAAAAACAAACAAACATGGCATTTGTATTTTTATTTTGCTTTTATTTATTTATTTATAATTTTTTTCAAAACCACATTTATGAAGAAATTTTGATAAAGTAAAGATTGTGAAAAAACATTGATGGATTGTAAGATTAAAAAAGAAGATAAATATAGTTGTAATCCTACATTCGTATATTTTTGTATCTAAACATATAAAATTAATTTGTTTTTTGGATTTTTTTATTTTTTTGAAACTTTTGAAATACTGCAAGAAAAAACCACAAAAAAAATTACATATAATCGACACATTGGTGGGTGTGGCCCCACGCCAAGTGGTTGGTTTCACATTTTCATGTCTATTCTTTAATTTATTATTATTATTATTGAGATGGGATTCTCTTTAGTTCATATATTAATTATGTGGATGTGAGAGTCTTGTTGGAGCGTGTGAGGTTTGTTATAGGATCGTTATGATAATTTAAATAATTCCTTTTCTAGGATTTTTTAAGTAGATCATCTATAAATAAAAAAATTTGATCTACTATTATAGTTAGATAATTTCTTCATATTGTTATCTTTAAAAAAATGGAAAATAAGTTAATTTTTGTTCATTTTTTATAAACAAATATGATAAAATTATATGGTTGTAATGTCAGATCAATTGTTATTTATTTATTTATTTATTTTAAATACAAAGTCTTGGAGTATCATTATCAAGCTCATTAGAACTTTCTCTTGATTATTTTATAGTACAAAATTGTAAAAATACACTCCATTAAACTCAATTAGGGCATGTTTGATTGATAGGATTAGGACATGAGATTGAAATTATTAATTTGTAGGCCCAATAATCCTGTGTTTGTTTTGAAATTTTGTTTCAGGATTATTAATCCAATAGATAATTAATTCAACAAATTTGTAAGATTATTATTAATGGGTTAAAGGCGGGATTATGTATCCTGAGCTGAGAAATAAAATAAAAAGATTATTTTACCCTTGACTAAAAATTAAAACACTTATTATTTTTATATAATTTTATATTTTAGAAGGCTAAAAATAATTTTTAAAAATTTTAAAATATTTTTTGATATTTTTTTTATCAAATTAGTTTATATTTAAAAAAAAATTAAAAAAAAACAAACAAACATGGCCTTTGTATTTTTATTTTGCTTTTATTTATTTATTTATAATTTTTTTCAAAACTACATTTATGAAGAAATTTTGATAAAGGAAATATTGTGAAAAACATTGATGGATTGTAAGATTAGAAAAGAAGATAAATATAGTTGTAATCTTACATTCGTATGTTTTTTTTATCTAATGCAAATCAAACAATGGACAAGGGAATAATTTATCCTAATAATCCAATTGGATAATGAATATACCACACTAATTTGATGGGATTATTAATACTTTCAGTATTAGTCTTGTGAATCAAACATGTCCTTGTTGACTAGCTACTTTAGTTGAATATTGAAAATATATTTGAAAAGATGGTTAGTTAAAATAGAAAAATATACTTTTAATTAAAATTTAATTAAAAATTTAACTATTTTGATAAATATCCTCTTATAAAATAAACTATTTAAATAGTCAAAATAACCCAAAATATGTCTCACGAACTCCAGCAACACACTCCATTATGAGAAATTACATCCCCCCTGTTTTTTTTTCAAATAAGTTGTCTCCAATCCAATCATTAAATTATTTAGTTAAGCATCTAGGGTCCACTATGGCCCCAATTTGATAATTAGACACAATCATTTTTCAGGCACTTGTAGATAGATCGTCCACACAAAAAAAAAAATAAAAAAAAAATTGTAGTTATAGTTATATTATTTTATTTTATTGTCTTAAAAAGAAAGAATAATATGAGTTTAAAAATAAACAATTTATTTTTTGAAAATAAATCTAACATAATAATGCGACTAAAAATAATAAATTATATTAATTTTTTCATGAATAATTCACACAAAATTTATAAAATGAATCAATTGTATTATCAAATGAAATATATGGTGTGGGTGTACCCAGAATGGACAATCCACAATCCATTAGATATTTTAAACAAAAAGACAATGAAGGTCACTCTAGGAATCTTAAATGGGGGTGTTTGAGTGGATTGGTCATTGTCCTTATGTGAAGAATTTATGAATATAAGAGAATGTTTGGAATTTGGATTTAAAAGAAGCGAGTTAGGGTTTTGGGTATTGGGCATTTGAGATGGGAAGCAAAGGTGGGGTGTTTAGGTTTGCTGATGGAGTAGACAAGTTGCTCTTGTTGTTTGGTACATTGGGTTGCATTGGAGATGGGATGATGACTCCTCTCACAATGTTTGTTCTCAGTGGTGTCGTCAATGAATATGGAAGTTCAAGTGCTCAACTTTCTTTCTCCATTCATGTGGTGGATAAGGTACAAAATGCTGACAGTATATTAACTTTTTAGTTTTTCTATTGATATAGAAATTAATTATAGAATCAGGCATAACATTATTAGATGTGAGATTGCGAAATATTGCACTAACATATATACAACAATTATATCACGAGAATTTAAAGAAAAAATTACATACTCAGAAAACGTATTCAGAAAAAATATGTAAAAATAGACAAAACTCATGTCCATGAATTGGACTAGAGGTTTCAGTTGAGGTATTGTGGGCCCACTTACTCACTTTGATGATTCAAATTGTTCAACTTGTACGACGTACTGAGCAGGTCATCTATGTAAAAAATTAAATTAATTATACATCGAAAACTTCAAGATGGGGCACATTTGTTTTAAAGATAAATTAACAGAGAGTATTATTTCGACAATAGTTCATTCAACTTAGAAAGAAAAATATAATCTAATTAATTGACTACCTATATTCGATTAATCTTATTTTTTTACATGAATGCTATATATGGCAAGCATTACAAAATGGATTGTTTAAATCATTAGAGTAGGCCTATAATCTCCTTAGTTAGAAACTACAATCCAATTCATGGATTAAAGGAAAATCTACTCTTTAAAATATTAAGTGGACAGTCTTACCACGTGGCCATCTGTCCACTCAGTAGTAAAGGGACACACGACCATCTTACCTAAAAAATATAAGACAAAGTGGTCATATGTCTTCATATTACTTAGAAGGGCACATCACATATGCCATTGGTCGAATCAAACTTTTCCTTATTACTTTAGTTACTCTATAATCTGCCGATTAAAAAATCTTATCTTGTTATCATGAATGATCCAATGAATTTATAATGCCAAAAGAGTGTAATAGATCTTTACTTTACCAGAATCATCTAATACTTGGGTTTCATTTTCTATTTTACAGTACTCACTGAGGTTGCTCTATGTGGCTACTTTAGTTGGCGTATCTGCTTTCATGGGTATGTATAATCCCAGAGATGCAAATGGTGGATATAGAAAAAGATACACTTTTCTCTCTCAACCAATTCTAGGGAAAATTATGTCAGTAGTCCTTCTATTTTGATCTTTGTATTATTTTGGTTCCTGTAATTTCAATTGGCTTGATTTTAACCTTGAATTTATAATTTTGTCTCAATTTTGTCCAATTAGTTACAAATGTTAGCATTTTTAATAGAAAATACATACATAAGTAGTATGTAGTTATATTTTTAGAGAAAAAATTACACACTCGGTATTTTTAATAAGTTAATTTCAACCAATTTAGTGATTGTTTTCTATCAAAAACATTAACAATATTATCAATTGGATAAAATTGATACAAAATTTAAAATTAAGAGTCAAAATTGAGCCAATTGAAAGTGTAAGGATCAAAATGATATAAGAAGCAAAATGTAGGGACTATTGGTGTAATTTGCCCTAAATTCTAATAAAAACCTAAAATTACTTGCATTAGTTACAAGAATTACCTTGGAAAATGGAAAAAGAGCACCAACAAATTTATCTTACACATAAAACAGTGGATTAAATTTGATTATGTAGTTATTGTTGTATGGCATTTGAGACTGCAGAAGGAATTTGTTGGACAAGAACTGCAGAGAGACAAACATCCCGCATGAGAATGGAGTACTTGAAATCAGTACTTAGGCAAGAAGTAGGTTTCTTCGACAACCAAACTTCTTCTTCTTCTTCATCTTCATCATCTACCTTTCAAGTTGTCTCTACCATCTCCTCCGATGCCCACTTAATCCATGATTTGATCGCCGAAAAGGTACCTCTTAAAATGCTTACAACTCTTAAAATATTATCTTTAAATTGACCACCTTGATTTTTTAGAAATCAGCTAACCAGTGTAAACAATAGTTTGAGAGAGAGAGAGAGAGAGAATAGAGAGAGATAGGATTAGCACTTTATCTTTTACAATATAAATTCTTTTTGTTTTCGGTGGACATCCAACAAAAAGAATTTACATTATAAAAGATAAAGTGCTAATGCTAAAGCTAATCATACACTAACATGTTAAAACTATTTACAATCATACACTAACAACCAGGAACAAACTCTTTCTCACATGAGTATAGATAAATTTAGAAGTCATATTTTATAAATCTCTAGTATTTCTCTCAATTTTAAAATAACGTAAATTATGCTTTCCCAATTAAGTTTTAGTGCTTTCATTTGGACCCTTATTTTTTTTCCACTTTAGTTCCTACCCTTGGATGTTTGGGCACAAGGAAAATTTTAAAATTTTAGAGATGAAAGTGGGAAAAAGAAAAAAAAAAAAAATTCAAAACCTAAAATGAAAAAAATAATAAAACTTATGTGAAGTAAAATGTAATTTTTCCTTATTCACTATTCACTTGTGTAATCAAAAGTCCTCTACAGCCCTCGTTCATTGTTACTCAGTAAAATTTTGAGTAAAATATTTATTTGGTATGAACCACGAACAAATTCGAATACGGTATAAATTTCACTCATGGTAGAGCGGTAAATTTGAGAGTCACAAAATAATCTTGAAAATTTTGAATAAACATTTTAGTCTCTCTTAAATGGTAAAAATTTGAATAATTTGGTATAAGTTTGGGCCTAGAGTGTATTTTGAGTATTTGTATCTTAAATAAGGATTGAAGATGATGTAACAAGAGTATTACACATACATTCCTTAAAGTCTTCCACCTATGAGTCTATTTGGTTTTTTATTCTTCAAAAATAGTTTTTTGAATTTTGAATTTGTATTTTTTATTTTTAGTGATTTTTTTTATATTTTTAAATATAATTAATTTAGATACACTTAAAAAGTAAAATATTTATGAAAAATCCTAAAAAAAGCTAATATTTTTTTTTTGAATTTTTGATATTTAGTGAATTTTTGTTAAAAAAATAAAAATTTCATAGCTTTTAAATGTATTATATTAATTAGATCTAAATAATAAAAATCACTAATTAAATAATATTTAAAAAAATCATTAAAAAAACCTGAAGACTCTGAAATCATTAAACCAATCCGTAATTCTTCTTGTATATTGGGAACATAAGTTGTTAGTTATTAAATTATTATCTTTATTTTCTGCATATTTTTTTTTTTGTAAAATATCAAAAAAATAGCTAAAATAAAAAATATAAAACTAGCTGGAAATATCTAGAAGAAATATTATTTTGCCCTCAAATTATCACTAAAACACCAATTCAACTTCTATTTTTTTAATAGTATCAATTTTAATCCTAAACTATTTTATTTTGAATCAATTTTACCTTTATTGTTAGCTATCATTTATAATCAAACGTAAGTTGTTAATATAGTGTTAAAATTTTGTTTGAAATTAGATTTTTGCACAAATGATTTTTACTACTCCCTCAATTCTAAAACATTAGCCATTTATTTCATTTTTTATTATCTCAAAATATTAGTCCATTTTTAAAAGTCAAAGAATAAAATAACATGTATTTTTTATTTTGTCATTCTTTTAAATTTATTAATACTAATATTTTTAAAATGTAATAATTATTGCCCTTTTAAGAGAGGTATCCATCTTGAAAACTGGATAGAATTACAGTGGCAACAACATGTTTAATTAGATTGTAGAACTTGAATTCTCGATTAGTATAATAGATTCCGATGAGTGATTGAAGGGGTTATGGAGTAAAAAGATTGGTGATTCAAATGAGATCTTAAAATTCAATAGATAGAACGTTCGAAGGTCAAATCTGAAACTTAGTTGATGCTTTTCAAATAAAGGAGAGAAGGAGAAGAGTGGCATAGAGGACTCCTATAAACAAATTAAGAAAATAAATGCTTAAGGCGGGTTCGCAATGGCCACAGACAACGAAAATTGGTACAGGTTATGGGCACCGAGGATTCACAAGTCCCCAAAAGACTAATATTTTGAGACGGAAGAAAAATGAAATTTACAACACAAACAATTTTAATTATTATTTCGAGTTCTGAATAAAAGGGTGGATTTGATGTAGCGATAAAATATCTCTTGGTGACTGTCACGAATTCGAGTCGTGAAAACAACGGCTTCGTTTACCAGAGTAAGGCTACGTACATTAATCTTTTTTTCAGATCCACTTAAGCGGAAATTTTGTACACTCCTTTTATTGTGGGTCCCGAATAAAGCCCATAGTTTGGAGAATAGTGATATAGAAATGAGTCATTCCCCGATAGTTTGAGACACAAAATGATAACATTTTCTTTTGCAGATGCCAAACTGTCTGGCAAACCTGTCAGCATTCACACTCAGCCTCACAGTATCCTTTCTACTTTCATGGCGATTAGCGGTGGCTGCTCTTCCATTCTCCCTCTTGTTCATAATTCCAGGGGTTGGATTTGGGAAGGTGCTGATGGGTCTGGCGATGAAGATGAGGGATGCTTATGGAATTTCCGGCGGAATCGCAGAACAATCCATCTCTTCAATTCGGACAGTTTATTCATACGTAGGAGAGAATCAAACATTGGATAGGTTCAGCAACTCACTTCAGAAATGTGTGGATTTGGGAATAAAACAGGGAATCACAAAGGGATTGCTTATAGGGAGCATGGGAATGGTATATGCAGCTTGGGCATTTCAAGTTTGGGTTGGGAGTCTCCTTGTTACTGAGAGAGGAGAGAGTGGTGGCCGAATTTTCATATCAGCAATCTGTGTTATCTACGGAGGAATGTATGTCAATTTCCTCATCAATTCTTCTACGTGCACAGAATTCGATTAAAGAATCGGACACAATCGTCTCGTATGAGAGGAGACTCACACATCTTTAAAGTCTCACCTCATATATGAGAATTGTGTTTGATTCTGTTACCAAATTTTATGTGCTTATAAATTTTTTTTTCTTACTAATGTTCCTTCATTTTTTTAGATTATTACATAGAGACCCTTTAAACTATTGTGAAATATTATTCTGACCCCTTAAACTATAAAATCATCCAAATCAATCTTTTAAATTATTGAGAATTATTACTTTGCTTTGTAAGTTATAAAAACATACAAATGGACCCCCTAAATTATTGAAGTGTTTTACTTTGACCCCTTTCGTTAGGTTGTCCAATTTGTACACTTTTATTGTTTAGAAGGTCCATTTGTATACTGTTATAATTTAGGAGGGCAAAGTGATATTTTTAAATAGTTTAGTGGGTCTATTTCTATGCTTTTATAGTTTACGAATAAAAGTGACTTCTCAATAGTTTAGGGGTTTTTCGTGTAAATAATCTTAATTTGTTTTCAGTAACCTTTATTTTTAATGTCATCCTTAAACCATGAGTTTTATCCATTTAGTCCATAAAATTTCTAATTTCAGTTTATATGATCAATTGGTAACAGTCTGTCCAAATAAATAATGGTGAAAACATAACTTAATGAGCAAAAGTATAATTTTAAAATTTGAACCACCTAAATAATACAACTAAACATGTGTTTTCTTAAAATACTTTTGGTTTTGTAATTTAACTTGTTCAAATTTTGAAGTTCCCTTTTCGATCGTCAAATTAAGTTTTAATGATTACAGATTTGGATAACCATTCTAATTGGACCACAATAGCTGAGAGTCAAAACTAAATAAACGAAATTAATAATTTAGTAGGATGAAAGTGAAATTAACCTTTCCTATAATATACCCTAATTTTTTTTTGAAATCAGACCTAATTTGTGATCATGCATCAAACAAGGAAATACTATCCAGTTACAAAAGTATAATTACTGAAACTGAATAGAAAATGCTATACCGTGGAATTAAGATTGTCTTTAACACAACGACATCAAGTTGTGTAAATGAAAAAGACTCGAAGTAAGAAAGAAAAAAAATATATTTAGCCATGCTGTGGTAGGTTGCACCAACCTTTTCGAAAAAAAAATCAGAAATTACAACTTCAATATTGAAATTTCAGATCAATTATGACTGCTATCCCCAATCTCTCATACTTCGCCCAGGCAACAGCTGCAGCTAAACGGATATTTGAGATGATTGATCGAAATCCACTTATAGACGCTGAAGATGTAGATGGAAAGATTCTAGCATATGTGAGAGGGGAAATTGAGTTTAAAGATGTCACCTTCTGTTACCCATCAAGACCAGAGACCCCAGTTCTTCAAGGATTCAATCTTAAAGTGAAAGCCGGGAAGACAGTAGGCCTTGTTGGAGGAAGTGGTTCTGGCAAGTCGACAATAGTTTCTTTGCTTGAAAGATTTTATGACCCTGTCAAAGGACACATCCTACTTGACGGATATAAAATAAAGAGACTTCGACTTAAATGGTTGAGATCTCAAATGGGTCTTGTGAATCAAGAACCAGTTCTCTTTGCAACATCCATAAAGGAAAATATTCTGTTTGGCAAGGGAGGTGCTCCGATGGAACTTGTTATTAGTGCAGCCAAGGCTGCAAATGCACACGACTTCATTGTTAAGTTATCTGATGGATATGAAACTCAAGTAAGTAATCGCTTTTCTGCTTCTGAATCAAACTTTACTTTCTGATTGCTCGACTTAGTAAACTTTCATTGGCATGGCAGGTAGGGCAGTTTGGATTGCAATTGTCTGGAGGTCAAAAGCAAAGGATCGCGATAGCAAGGGCTTTACTTCGAGACCCAAAAATCCTTCTGCTTGATGAAGCTACAAGCGCTCTTGACGCACAATCTGAAAAGACAGTGCAGGAGGCCCTTGACAAGGCTTCGCTAGGAAGGACAACAATTGTCATTGCTCATCGTCTTGCCACAATTCGTGAAGCTGATATGATAGTTGTTCTTGAATCAGGGAATGTAGTTGAATCGGGTACTCACAATGAGTTGATTCAATTGAACAATGGAGGAGGGACTTATTTTAGAATGGTGCAATTGCAGCAATCCACAGCACAAAATGATGTCTCTAACAGTCACTATCATCCATCAGAGGTTGCAAACAATGATAGAGTGATGATTGCACAGACTCCCCAAACTCCTGTTGGTGCAATATCGATTTGGCAAAGTAGCCCTGTGTCAAACTTTAGCCCATGTATTTCTGTCAGTGTGCCACACTCTATTCAAATGTATTCTTATGATGATAGCGATGATGAAAACTTGGGCAAATCTTATTATTCTATTCCTTCAAAGTGGCGCTTGCTACGAATGAATGCTCCTGAATGGAAACAAGCACTGCTAGGGTGCTTGGGGGCTGCTAGTTTTGGGGGTGTTCAGCCAGTTTATGCTTATTGCTTGGGATCAATTGTCTCGGTATACTTCCTAGAAGACAACCCCAAGATCAAATCGGAGACAAAATTCTACTGCATTGTCTTCTTAAGCTTAGCTGTTATAAGCTTTTTCGTAAATCTCCTCCAACATTATAATTTCGCAATCATGGGAGAACATTTAACCAAGAGGGTGAGGGAGAAATTGCTTGGAAATATGCTTTCTTTTGAGATTGGTTGGTTTGATAAAGATGAGAACACAAGTGCAGCAATATGTGCACGTCTGGCTACCGAAGCCAACATGGTTCGATCACTTGTTGGGGATCGCATGGCATTGTTATGTCAGGTCTCCGTCAACGTTTCCCTAGCTTATGGGCTTGCATTAGTGGTCACATGGAGGGTAGCAATTGTAATGATTGTCATACACCCTTTAATTGTTGGAAGCCTCTATTCAAAGAATGTATTAATGAAGAGCATGTCAAAAAAGGCCAAAGAAGCTCAAAATAAAGGAAGCCAACTAGCGAGCGAAGCAGTGGTTAACCATAGGACTATCAGCGCCTTCTCTTCTCAAAAAAAAATATTGTCGCTCTTTAAGGCTACAATGGAAGGACCCAAGAAAGAAAGCATTAAGCAATCATGGTTCTCGGGTTTTGGCCTCTTTAGCTCCCAATTTTTGTCAACGGCCTCGATTGCTTTGACTTATTGGTACGGAGGGAGGCTGATGAATCAAGGCTTAGTAACTTCAAAGCATTTATTTCAAGTGTTCTTCATCTTGATGAGCACAAGTAAGAATATTGCGGATGCAGGAAGCATGACTTCTGATCTGGCAAAAGGTGGCAATGCCATTAGATCAATTTTTGCTATTCTTGACAGGAAAACTGAGATTGAGCCAGATGACCTTAAAGGGATCAACGCTGAAAAGACAATTAAAGGCTTCATAGAGTTGAAGAATGTGTTCTTCTTCTACCCATCAAGGCCTGAACAAATGATCTTCCAGGGCCTGAGTCTCAAAATTGAAGCTGGTAAAACAATAGCACTAGTGGGACAGAGTGGATCAGGCAAATCCACTATTATTGGCTTAGTTGAAAGGTTCTATGACCCAATAAAAGGATCAATTTTAATAGATGGGCAAGACATCAAGGAGTACAACTTGAGAAGCTTGAGATCACATATTGCATTAGTGAGTCAAGAACCCACTCTTTTTGGAGGAACTATCCGCGAAAACATCATCTATGGGAAAGAGGATGCCACTGAAACTGAAGTAAGGAAGGCTGCAGTACTTGCCAATGCTCATGAATTTGTAAGGTATAAATCTATCCCCTCTCAAATTCTTTTATCATTTCTTTTATTTTTTTGGAAACATTTCTGCTTTCAAGCTACCCAAAACAACATAGTGAAACAAAATTTTAATCCTTGTGTGTAATGCAGCTCCATGAAAGATGGATACAATACTTACAGTGGAGAAAGAGGGGTTCAACTCTCTGGAGGCCAAAAGCAAAGGATAGCACTCACTCGAGCAATACTAAAGAACCCATCAATCCTCCTCTTGGATGAAGCAACCAGTGCACTCGATAGTGCGTCAGAACATCTTGTCCAAAAAGCGTTGGAGAAGATGATGGTTGGTCGGACTTGTGTAATTGTGGCTCATCGGTTATCCACAATACAGAAGTCTGATTCGATAGCTGTGATAAAGAATGGGAAAGTTGCGGAGCAAGGATCACATTCTGATCTACTTGCTGTAGGAAGTCAAGGGTCATACTGCTCTCTAATAAAGCTCCAAACTGGACAGTCCTCTTATCCATGATAATGTATGTTGAAGAACATTGTCTAATATGTAAATTCTCTTGAAACTTGGTCATTGAAAAGAAAAGCCTTGACATGGAATGACATGAAGTCTTGGCAGACTATTATATTAAAAAACGGTAGTGATTGGGGGCCCGAAAACGGGACGCCCCGAATGCCACTAATTTTTTTTATTTTTTTTTTCTTTTCAGCAGAAGAAAGGAGGAAGACGAAGACGAAGAAGGGAAGGGGGGGAGGGGAGGGGAGAGGAGGAAGGACTGGAGGGGGCCTAAAAAATAGAGGAGGGGCTGAGGCGAGGTAGACGCGATCGGCGGCGATCGGCGCAGGCGACGCGACCTCTCTCTCTCTTTCTCTCCCTCTCCCTCTCCCACTCCCTCTCTTTCTCTCCCTCTTCCTCTGCATTGCAGAGGTCGAAAATGGCGGAAAAAAAGAAAAAAAAGAAAAAAAAAAAGAATGTCCAAAACGACGTCATTTTAGGCATTCGGGCAAGCAGATTCGGGCCCTTAAACATTTTCCATTAAAAAAAATGTGTCAGAAAGTTTTCATTGGTCAAGAAAATATTTCATAAAAACGACTCCATTTTCAACTCATGTCGGTGCCGTAGTTATTCTCTTACTTTCACTACTAGATTTCTCAGTAAATATAACTACAGACTTGTGTATTCTATTATTTTCGAAACTTTATCTTTTTGCTTCTTAATTTTCCATTTCTCTAGAAGGTTTCCCTGATTAAAATGTCAATTCTCTTGCCCAATCAGAAGAATAAAGCAATAGGCGGTAATTAATATTGATATATGAGTGAAAAGTGTTTCAATTTAGTCTCTCTATTAATATATGTATTTTAAATAGAGATTTTTATTAGAAAATCTTATTTAGAAGTGTTTTAATTTAAGAAATTTATGAAGAAATTTTTTAATCTATTTAATCCCATGTATGTATAGTTTTATTCCATAAAGTCTTTTTCCTTGATTTACACTATTTTTTTGACACTTATGCCCTTATATTTAATTTTGATACCTTTATAAATATTTTTTGAATGGTTAGCAATTTTATGATGTGAACATTCATATTTTAAAATTCACATTGGTAGGAATGTAAAATTGGCCCTGTGGGCAGCCCGAAACCCGCCCGCGAGCCGGGGCGGGCCTGGCCCGTTGACAATGTGAATATTCACATTGACTATTTTTTTGACACTTATGCCCTTATATTTAATTTTGATACCTTTATAAATATTTTTTGAATGGTTAGCAATTTTATGATGTGAACATTCATATTTTAAAATTCACATTGGTAGGAATGTAAAATTGGCCCGTGGGCAGCCCGAAACCTGCCCGCGAGGCGGGGCGGACCCGGCCCGTTGACAATGTGAATATTCACATTGACATGTTAACATTCACATTAATAGAAGTGTAAAATTGGCCGCGTCCCATGGCAGCACGAAACCCGCCCGCAGCCCATGGGTGGGCCTGGTCTGGCCCGTTGACAATGTGAATATTCACATTGACATGTTAACATTCACATTGATAAGAATATAAAATTGGCCCGCGGTCCATAGGCGGCCAAAAGCCCGCCCGGGGCGAGCTCGACCTGGCCCGTTGACAATGTGAATATTCACATTGACATGTTAACATTTACATTGACATGTTAACATTCACATTGATAGGAGTGTAAAATTAGCCCGCGCCTCGTGGCTGTCCGAAACTCAGCCACGGCCTATGGGCGGCCCAGGACGGGCCCGACCCGACCTGTTGATAATGTGAATATTCATATTAACATGTTAACATTTACATTGATAGGAGTATAAAATTGGTCAACTGCCCAGGACGGGCCCGACCTGGCCCATTGACAGGAGTGTAAAATTAGCCCGCGCCTCGTGGCTGCCCGAAACTCGCCCACGGCCCATGGGCGGGCTCGGCCCGGCCTGTTGACAATGTGAATATTCACATTGACATGTTAACATTCACATTGATAAGAGTATACAATTGGCCCAGGCCCACCGGCCCGACCCGAGGCTCGATCCATCGGCCCGTCCAAAACCCGAATACCCTTATGCCAGGGCTAGGGCCTAGGCCTAATTTTTTGGCCCGTGGGCCGGCCCGGGAAAGGCTCGTTTGGGCCCAGGCTCGAGCCTAGTCCGAGACCCTAGGCTAGGGCCTGGGCCATCACTTTGAAGCCCGGCCCGACCCATTGGCTTGGTTAAGGCCCATTCAAGGCTCAATCTGAGGCCCGGCCCGTGCCGAGGCCTAGTGTCTTTTTTTGTGAAAAATAATAAAATTTTGGTAGAAAAAATTAAAAAGAATTAAAAAAAAATGGCCAGGCCCGCCCCGGACGGGCTAATTTTACACTCCTATCAATGTGAATGTTAACATATGAATGTGAATATTCACATTGTCAACGGGACGGGACGGGCCGGGTCGGGCCCACCCTGGGCCGCTGGCCAGTTTTATACTCTTATCAATGTAAATGTTAACATGTCAATGTGAATATTCACATTGTCAACGGGAATACCCTTATGCCAGGGCTAGGGCCTAGGCCTAATTTTTTGGCCCGTGGGCCGGCCCGGGAAAGGTTCGTTTGGGCCCAGGCTCGAGCCTAGTCCGAGACCCTAGGCTAGAGCCTGGGCCATCACTTTGAAGCCCGGCCCGGCCCATTGGCCCGGTTAAGGCCCATTCAAGGCTCAATCTGAGGCTCGGCCCGCGCCGAGGCCTAGTGTCTTTTTTTGTGGAAAATAATAAAATTTTGGTAGAAAAAATTAAAAAGAATTAAAAAAAAATGGCCAGGCCCGCCCCAGATGGGCTAATTTTACACTCCTATCAATGTGAATGTTAACATATGAATGTGAATATTCACATTGTCAACGGGACGGGCCGGGCTGGGCCCGCCCTGGGCCGCTGGCCAATTTTATACTCTTATCAATGTGAATGTTAACATGTCAATGTGAATATTCACATTGTCAACAGGCCTGGCCGGGCTCGCCCCGGGCCGTGGGCGAGTTTCTGGCAGCCACAAGGCGCAGACTAATTTTACACTCCTATCAATGTGAATGTTAACATGTCAATGTGAATATTCACATTGTCAACGGGCTGGATCGGGCCCGCCCCGAGCCGTGGGTGGGCTTTTGGCCCCCATGGGCCGCGGGCCAATTTTATACTCTTATCAATGTGAATGTTAATATGTCAATGTGAATATTCACATTGTCAACGGGCCGGACCGGGCCCGTCCCGGGCCACGGGCGGGTTTCGCGCAGCCATGGGATGCAGGCCAATTTTACACTCCTATTAATGTGAATGTTAACATGTCAATGTGAATATTCACATTGTCAATGGGTTGGGCCCGTCCCGGCCCGACTCGAATTTTTCCGGGCACCCACGAGGATCGACATGGGCCGAGTCCCTACACATTGACGATATGAACATTCACATTGACGATGTGAACATTCACATTAGGGGTATTTTGGTAATTATGTCACCCGCAAGACTTATTGAAACATAAGAAAACAATGTGAACTAAATGGAATATAAGTAGATGAAAAGGGTATTTTGGTCTTCTTATCTCAAATAGGACCTAATGAAATAGTCAAAAAAATATGAATTGGATGGAATAAAACTCTTAAAAAATGGATTTATCAAAAAAAAGCTTTCTTTTAAATATTGGGGAAAAATAATCACGAAAAAGTCTAAAAACATAAAAATTAATCATAATTAAACACAATCTTCTTGCATGAGATGAGTTCCACACGTATCAAACAGTTGTGTAGAGTTTGATTTTTGTGTTAATAGAATAACTAAACTAAATAAACCTCCTTGGAAGCATGGCACTTGATTCACTTAGCCTTTATACCATTACCCTTTTAACTAACTATAAAAGATTTGGAAGGAAGCCAAACACAGACCACGACCAACACCACCAAAAGAAGCTATCATTCTCTTCTTTCATCTGCCATTGAAAGAGCTTACTTTTCCTCTTCCATGACTTCTAAAATTGTACCGACTGGTGGTAAGATGCACCAGACTGGGAGTAACTCAAACCTGATCACGATGTCGGCCAGTGACAAAGCGATGATGGAGCAAATCCAGGCCACACATTCCCTTGATGGCCGCGAATTTGATGTCAAACTACTCCTTTTTGAATCCAATGGGTCTCCAATCCTCTTTCACTCTAATAAAATGAGTTTGGGGTTTCTTAATATGGTAAGGTCGTGTTTGGTGGTGAAAATAAAAAAATCCGATAGAGTTCTGATTCGGTATAAGGGACGTGGTTTGCTCAAACAAAAGACTTCACCATTTCGCATCTCACGCCTCTTGTTCTTCTCCCCTCTCAGATCGTCTTCGCACCGCTACACCGCTACTGTGGAAGCCGCGGAAAACTCGTTTCCAGCGTCGGCCATCGACATCGCCACCGACTTTCAGGTAACTGCTGCGAAGACCCCAAGCATTTTCAGATCCACTGCACATGGTCGTTGATCTACAGAAACAGAGAGTGGATGACTACGAGAGGAGTAGGGGTCCAATAGATGGTGTTGAGGAGTGTACTGAAGCTTGACTTCTGATCCCTTCCTCTTGTCATCTCATTCTTATCAGAGAGAGGAACAACACAGAAGTGTCCTTTACCTGTTCGACAAAATGCCCAAATACCCCTGTTTGCATCACAGAGAGAGGAACAACACAGAAGTGCCCTTTACCTGTTCGACAAAATGCCCCAGTGAAACCTTGTCACTGTGCTATAAGATGATTAAGGAGAAAGAGAAAGAGAAGGACAATGAGAGGGACAGAGAGGGTAGTAAGCTATCATTGAAGAATGGTAAACTAGCCAAGAGTAAATCAAAAAGCAAATCTTCGACTAAGGTATCTTTGAAGGAGTTTGTAAATCAGGTGGATCAACTATCTACTGATGATATGCCTAATGTACTTCCCCGCCGGTCTACACGCATTCGAGGTCCCCTCAAATCTCTTTCACTTGGAGATTTTGTGGGACCGTGGCAAGGGCCCTCAAATGTAAACAAGAGGGGATTGAGGGACGTAGATTCGGAGGATAGCTCAATTGAGTGTGATTGTGATCTTGGTACAACACAGTTTCGCTGGACTG